TTGTAAAAATTATATACTATACTATCTAAACTAGTCTCTACTCTAATCTATATAATTAGTATATCTAAGCAAAAAAACCATAGAAGGCAAAAAATCAGCTTCTTCGACATTGTCACTTAGAGAAGTCAGAAATTATACTATTAGTCTTGAAGTATTGTTTGTTTGAATTGCCACTTCCAAGGTATATAATCTATATGTTTATGTTTCATGCATATTCATGTGTTTGTTGTAATGGAAAAAAGTAAACAATGGCAATCGATTTGGTAAGTACAATATGTCGATCTTTTGAAGAGGTAAGCTAAATCGTCCACTTTTTTACAAAATTTTTCTCAAAAAAAAAAGCGGAAAGTTAACGAGAATATATGAGGTTTTTCTATAAGTTTTACAGTTGTATAGGCAATTCTTCAAGCTTCAACTATCTCAGCGAGAGTCTTTTGACTACTACTTGTTTTCAGAATAGCCTTTCTGATTTGGATGCCAAATAACTTAGGGAGTCTGTCTGATATAGCAAAAACTTGACTCAAGAAAAGCTGTCCAAGTTACGCCTGCTTCTCAGTGTATTATATCTCTTAGACTTTGTCGATAACAACCTACACTTAAGTAATATCAGTTCCCAGAAAACCCTTCTGGTTTGGATACTGAATAACTTAAAGAGTTTACTCCCAAGCAGAAGAAGGCTTAACTCCAAGAAAAACTACCTAAAGTATACTCGCTCCTTGGTATTTCATGTCTTCAAGCTTCATCAACAACTATATTACTTTAAGGTAAGACTGAGAAGTATCTTTCTTGGACGTTCTTATATCATTTTTTTGTAGTTCAGTTTGCTGTTGTTGATGGCCAGAGAATCATTAGAAAGAGTGAGTCCAAATATGATGCATCTTTAATATTAACTACTATAAAACTAATTATAATTATAAAAATTATATATATTTCTATGAAAATTATTATTTTGTGCAGGGTGTATACGGTGCATCCTATAGCAAACTATAGCAAAATCAATATAAATAAGCATTAAATTAAAGTTAGAGTTAGGTTTAGGGTTAGGATTAGAGTTAGATTAGAGTAAAAACTTTACGAAAAACATTTTTTATTAGTCATACAACAGGGGTTACTCTAGTAAAATTTTGAGATATTAATAGGATGCATCAAGTGCAGGATGCACCAAAAAATAATACCCTATTTCTATTTATACAGAACTTTAGATCAGCTACATTCTTATATTAACACATATTTGATTATAGGCCAAGTTAGAAAAAAGATTAATAATTGATCTAAAATATAACTTTTCTTTAAATTATATTCATATATAGTAATTTAGATAAGTCTTTAACTACTTTAATAAATTTAGATCATAAATAAATATATCTAAGCTTTTATTCTTATATGTTATTTTTTTTTATTTGTACTTGTACAAATAGTAATATTAGGTTTAGACCACAAATAATTATATTATGTATTATAATATTGTATCTAAGTCTCTAATTTTAATATCCTCTAGATATAAAATTTAAATGTAATTTCTTTTCTATATGTATTTTTTGTAAAGAAACTCAATTGAATTTTAATAAAGTTAGAGACATAGCTTCATCTTTAAAAAACAAATAATAATATTTTTATGTACTTAATATATAATTACTATTGCTAAAATTACTAATAAAGATATAAGCAAAACCTTATATATATATTAACTTTTTATTAAGTTAAAAAAAATAAAATAAAAAAAGATTTTTTATAATTTTTTATTATTTGATTTTAATTTTTATATTTAATAATAATTATACTAAATTATATTACTAATAATAATATTATATATATATATTTTAATAGTTTATATAAAAATCATGTTAAAAATTTTTAAATATAGTGAAATTTTCAGAGTTTTTTATATAGCACTCTTTTCAATAATCACTTATACCAACTAGTTGAAGATTCAAGGCTAAAAGTTATAATAATTTAAAGTTTTCTTAATATAAACTGTTGTTAACAAAGTTTTTAAACATGATATACTGAAGAGTAGATGTTTTAAATAGTTTACAAAAGAGTTAAGCCTTATTTTCTGTATTTCTTGAGTAGACTCCCCTTTGTGTTTGGCATCCAAACCAGATTAGTCTCTGAGAACAGCAAATAGAAAAGAAGACTAAAGATTAATTGAAAATAAAAGGCTATAAAGATCTTTTAGAACAACACTTTTTAATTAAAAAACTTATAAAAATACAATATCCTTTTGCCATCATTTGGCTTCAAAATTTTTGTTAGAAAGTAGAGAATTCAGAAATGTTCCTTCAAAAGATTGATATTAGTTATTACTTCTATATCGAAAAACTAGATAATAATAGATTAACATATGTAATTAGATGAATGATCACAAGTTACATAAAGTTTAAAATTCTTATACTTTCAAATAACAATATAGATTTAATAGAAAGAGTTAAATAAAATGTATTAAGATATATAGCTTGTCTATTGTATATAATTTTTAGTCTCTGACATGAGTTATAGTGCAGTTTAGTACAATTTAAATTTTGTCAAGCCCTCACATTTAATAGTAGATCATTACACTTTGTATAATTAAAATTTTTTGCCTAACTAACAAGTTTTCTTTTAGGTTTTAATATAGGTTTTTTATTCTTTAGTAGTAGTATCTGTTTTTTTTTATGTATTAGTTTTTATTATATTCTTTTTTTTTATTTTTATTTTCTTTTTTTTCTTTTTTTCTTCCTTATGAAAAAGTGTCATCAATTTGGTAATATTCTATTGTAAAGCAAAAATCTTGATGAGATGGGCAACAGCTAGCAGAAGAGTGCAAGGAAAATAAGTCCAAAGTTAGTTTCAGATTTTCAAAGAAGGCTAAGTATTATTAGGTAGATTGTATTTAAGTATAACACAGCAGTTTAATAGTTTGCTCTGACTACAAGTGGGTGTTATAGCATCTGCAAAGTAAAACTAGATAAATTTATCTACTGGTTGGAACATAATAAAACTAGATTTTATATGATTACTGATGTAAGAATAAAGTTTTGTTTCTATAATGAAATAAACAGGATTGCTAAAAGAAACAATATAGCAAAATATTAGATCAAATTTGGTTAGATATAAAGTTTTTAAAAATGCTAAATATTTTATATAACAATCACAGATTGAAAACTAGCAAACCAGTAAATTTACTGATTATAAATGAATTTTTAAATTAATATTCTAATTATAAACTAATTATATACTGATTCTAGTTTATTAAATAATATTATTTCTTACTAATTTTGGATAATTTTTGACTATATTTAATATAAAATCAGTTTAAAATTAGTTAATCTTATTTAAATTAATTTATTAATTCAAAATACTGATTGTTATTGATTTGTAATATTTAATTAAAATTAATAAATTTTTTATAATTAGTAAATTGCTAATTAAATAATTTTTATTATCTAATAATTTTACTAATTATTAAATATTTATTAATTTATATATTACTATTTTAAAAAATGATTAATTACTGATTGTATAAATTATAATCAAAATAATAATAATTAAAAAATAAACTACAATCAGATTATTATAATTAAAGAATAAATTACAATCAGATTATTATAATTAAAATTATAATAATCTGATTATATAGCTTATTCTTTAATTATAATAATCTAATTATAGTTTATTTTTAATTATTATTATTTTGATTATTATAATTTTATACAATCAGTAATTAATTATTTTTAAATCAGTAATATATAAATTAATGAATATTTAATAAGTAGTAAAATTATTAGATAATAAAAATTATTTAATTAGCAATTTACTGATTATAAAAAATTTGTTAATTTTAATTAAATATTACAAATTAATAACAATGAGTATTTTGAATTAATAAATTAATTCAAATAAGGTTACTAATTTTAAACTAATTTTATACTAAATACAGCCAAAACTATCCAAAATTATTAAGAAATAATATTATTTAATAACCTGAAATCAGTATATAATCAGTTATAATCAGAATGTTGATTTAAAAATTTATTTACAATTAGTAAATATACTGGTTTACTAGTTTTCAACCTGTAAATTGTTGCAAATTAAAATAAAATTAGATTAAAATAAAATAGAAAACCTCACTTGCTCATCTTTAGTGCTTATAAACCTACATATACTTATTTATTAATAATTCTACTTTAAACTTTACTTCTAATACTAAAAAATCTCCAAAATTATCTCTTAAAAAATTTCAAATTTTTCTTAAAAAATAAAAAATTTTCATTTTAATCTGATTTCATTTTAATCTGTTACAATATATAAGTTAATTAGCTAGTTTTTAAAATATAACAACTGTGAAATTAACATGACTAGTATAATTTAGTAAAACTATATAATAATATAAATTTTAATATTTAAATTTATAATATATTAATAAAAATTGTCCAATTTAAATAAAACTTCCAAATATATTTTGTTTAATTTTTTTAATAACTTTATTTAATAAATTAGAATTAATATATTTAGTAAAATTTTTACTATATAATAATATTATAAATTATCAAAATAACTTAATTTAAATTAAAAATATTTTAAATTGTGTTTAAAAAAAGTTAACTTATTTTTAGCAATAATATACAGTATTTATATATTAATTAACAATTAAATATATATATAATATGAAAAACACACCTTAATATATATATATATATTAAAAAACATATATATATTTTAATATATATGTTAAAATTCTTTGGCCCATCCGGCCCGCATTTACAAAATTTAACTGTTAGGCCCGGCTCGCAAAATTTTGCGGGCTGGGCCACGGGACCCAATGCAGGCCTCTATTGTCATGGATTCACCATTTATGGTTACATTGCGAAGTGTATACAATCATGAGTTTCAGATATAATTATAAGTTTCGAGCACTTATAACTTTGTTGAGTAGGTAAGCTTATTAGAGTAATTTGTTTAAGAGTTGCAGATGTTAAAGCCAAAGCTTTGGTGAGCTGGCACTTTAGACAGATGACGACCTCCTGAATAATGATTTTCGATCAAAATTTTCTTTTCTCTGAGTTGTCAAAGCTCGAATTAAATGATGAATCCGCTTTCAGTAGTACAAAACAGATTATTTGTTTACAGCCTTAAATTACGGCACACTCAAGCCTGAGACTTAGAATGATCAAATAAATCAACTTGATTCTATAAATATCCAATTTTTTTTAGAAAAAGTTCCTTATAAAAACATAAATTTTAACTTTTTTAGATCATAGTAAAATCAATTTGGTTCCGAGATACAAAGATTAACAGATGCACTTTACAAAAAGTACCATTTTAATCTTGAATTTTTGTGAAAATAAATTCGGCTCTAAAAGTAAAAAAAAATAGTTAGTAAATCCTAATACAATACATTGTAAATTTTTTTTAAAATTGATATGTAATACTACCTTGTTTGTAAGGAATTATTATTGTTAGTGAATAATTTTTTTAAAAAAATATTGCCATGTGATTACTCGAACCTAATTATTTCAAAAATTGTTATTCGGCAAACTACAATATCGTTGCTGAATAACTATCCATTATATAATTGTATAAATTCGAATGCCAAAAAAAGAATACTATTTATTCTAATGTAAAAAAAAAGAACGATAAATATTTGAACTACAGGTAATAAAAATCAGGCCAAATTAGGTGATCTGATATAATTTTTTTGAACCTTGGGTATAATTACACGTAATTAAGCCTGTCTTTTATTAGCTACAACTCAAATATGCGAATATATGCATATATGTTATGAATTTTTTTCATAGAAGGCATTCTCTTATCCTAATCAATAAGAATCTAATTAAAAATAAAAATTTAAATATAACAATTATTTCCTTATACAAAAAATTATATACAAAATATAAAGACTTACAATATTAGAAATTTTCTTTATTTCTTATAAGAAACTTATTGATCATATATAAAGTAGCACCATCAATTTTACTGTCATTAAGCTCTAAAGTGGTTAGAACAGTATTTTTGTAAAGAGTTTTTGCTAACGCTATTCCTACTTCAGAGCCAAGATGATTTTTACTGAGATTTAAAGAGGTTAAAGTTGAATTCTTATAAAGAGCCTCTTGGAAAGCATTTCCAATTTCAGGACCAATTTGATTCTTACTAAGATTTAAGGAAGTCAAAGTAGAGTTTTTACAAAGAGCTTCCACTATTGCTTTTCCGCCTTCAGAACCAAGTTGATTTTCGCTAATATTTAAAAAAGTTAATGAAGTATTTTTATAAAGAGCCTCTGCGAATGCTTTTCCTACTTCAAAATCAAGATGATTATTCCAAAGACTCAGATGAGTTAGAGTAGTGTTGACACAAAGAACCGAAGCTAGAGCCTTTCCTACTTCAGAGTCAAAAAGATTACTTGAAAGATACAAATGAACTAAAGTAGTATTTTTATAAAGAGCTTTTGCAAATGCTTTTCCTACTTCAGAGCCAAGTTGATTATTATGAAGGTTTAAGAAAGTTAAAGTAGAGTTTTTACGAAGAGCCTCAGCTAGAGCTTTACCACCTTCCGAACCAAGTTGATTACTCCAAATGCTTAAATACGTTAAGGTCTTATTTATAGAAAGAGCCTCAGCTAGAGCTTTTCCACCTTCAGGACCAAGTTGATTATTCCATAGACTCAGATGGGTCATAGTAGTATTAACATAAAGAACGGAAGCTAGAGTTTTCCCAACTTCGGAGTCAAGATGATTACTCGAAAGGTATAAATGAGTTAAAGTAGAATTCTTATAAAGAGCAGTAGCTAAAGCTTTTCCACCCTCAGGATAAAGATGATTACTCGAAAGATTTAAATGAGTTAAAGTATTATTCTTACAAAGAGCTTTTGCGAAAGCTTTTCCACCTTCAGCATAAAGTTGATTATTATGAATATTCAAGAGAGATAAGGTTTTGTTCTTACAAAGAGCATCAGCCAATAATTTTCCACCTTCAATACCAAGTTGATTATTTATAATATTCAAAGAGGTTAAAGTATTGTTCCTATAAAGAACTTTAGCTAAGATCTTAATTTCATCAAAATCAAGTTTATTATTTGAAAATTTCAAGGAAGTAAGAAAAACACTTTTATCAAGAATATTTGACAATAAATTTACAGTTTTACCACAAATGCTTAAATCTTTAAGTTTCTTACTTGTCCGTAGAAACATTATAATTAAGGAACACTTAATAGTTTGAAGAACATTTACAGCATTCACAGTATTCACACTTCTTGCACAAGCTAAGTCGCAATGTCTACGTCTTTGATGGTTAAGCCAATTTATGATGCCACTATCATCAGCATCTATTTTAATAATAGTAGTATAAGTAGTGTATTGAAATAGAGGTTTTGGATCATTTGGAAGTATTATTCTAAAAGGTATTAGACGAGATTGTTCATCAGCATTTAATTCCAAAAGACAAGTTCTTATAAATTTACGATTTTTAAAAGAAATTGGACCACTCCATAATATTGGTACAGCATTTCTACACCACTGACGGTTTACTAGAAGGCAAGAAAATAAAGTTCTATGATAATCTTTAAGGTTAATAAAAATTTCAGAAAGGCATTCGTTTGGTAATGTCATCATTTTTAAAGGGGTAAATTTTTTTTTTTACGTACTACGTATTGCAGCTATTTATAATACTTTCGGAGTTCGTTTAACAAATAAACATAACATTGTTTCACAAATAACAAGATTACGAGATATTACGAATCATGTGACTGTCCGTTACTGGGTATTGCGGAAATAATTTCCAGTGGCGTACATGAGACGCAAAGTCCCATAAAGATTCTTCACAGCAAAAACCATTGCTTAGAGTATATATATTTCATATATCCTAAGCATGATTTTACTGTGAAAGAACTCATAATAAATGTGTTATTTATCGTTTCATATGATGACAAGAGGGGAGACTCGCGTTACTAATCACTTCTATTACATTTCTTTGTCCTCTAAATTCATTTCCATTTTTGGGAAACAAAAATAAAGCCCCAGAAACAACTAATAAGCCCAGGGGAATAACTAATAGGAAAAATTTATGATAATTGTGATCAACAACACGTATATTCCCGTCATGCGGTTAATAGTGAGGTGATGAAATAACACAAGGCTACTTACTGTGTTCTTAAGATTCTTAAGCCATACCAAGTTAAAATCTATGATGATATCATGACCTGTATAGTAGTACCTAATCCTTTAAACAGAGTGTGCGTTCGAAAATTAATTTAATAAAGTTCAATAGAAATACGTACGTACGTACGTATTCGCACCCACGCACGTACGTACGTACGTAGGTTTAAATCCGTCACACATTTAATATAAATGTGTTGTGGCGGAATATGACGTGATACGCTAAACCAAATCAGGTAAGTTTGGTCCAAGAATCAATGGAAATGATTATTTAAACGAACATGTTCAGTTCTGACGAGCTAAAGTGGACGCTAAAATTTTAGTATATAGGTAAATGATCCTAATAGGGTCTATATATTAATTGTCGGGGTGATGCTGAAATCGGATGATGCTGAAATTTGGGTCTTAATTTGAAAATATAAACCCTACTAAAATCCACCTACACTCTTTTATTATAAACGCTAACCCTAAATTCTAATCGAACTATAAAAAAAAGATGAACAAAACACCCCCAAAAAATTTAAATTTTCAGAATAAAATAAGTCAAAAAAATTTCGGCATCAACATCATCCCCGACATTAATTATATATGAGTGTGGCCAAATGAAAAAGTATATTTCTAAAAATGCTAAAAATAGAAGTTTTTACACAAAAAAAATTGACTTTTTGTATAACAGAAAATTCGAATAAATGTGACAGAGTATTCTAGATAAATGGGCATGTCACACTAAAAGATTTGTACACCTAAATTTAAGGTACTGTACACCCAAAAAGAAAATACGGTACGAAATATCTACAGTCCGTAATAGAATTACTCTAATATTTAAGCTATAATGACAAGTCCAAAATATCAATATGATATAGTAAATGCCTCATTATGTTAACTATTTTATTTTTATTTCTATATTATTTTTATTTAACTTAACTAATCATTTAACGTTACTTTAACTGATCATTTAACTAATAATTTAACGTTACTTTAACTAATTAATCATTTAACGTTACTTTAACTAATTAATCATTTAACGTTACTTTAACTAATCATTTAACGTTACTTTAACTAATCATTTAACGTTACGTTAACTATCATATCATCATTAAACATTACGCAAACTATCTTGAGCATAATGCTTATTAATACATTTCGTAACAGATTTTTTTCTCTCTTTCTCCTTTTTCAAAAAAATAACGTTAAAAAATATGGGTATTGAACAAAGGCCGAATCGGATTTGGTACTTAATGTTTTCATCAAATTGAACAAAAACCGATTTGGCTTTTGTTACTTAATATTTTTTACTATTATCATAACTCCTGGAACACATAAAAATTAGCCGAATGATTTTTCGGTTGACCTTGTTATTACTTCGGCATAATAATAGATGCTTTGTGCATCCTGATTCTGCACTACAAGGAGGAAAAACTCAATTAGAACAAATTAAAGATCTTCAATCCCATTTTCCACAATTATTCATCAAGAGTTGCATTCTTGGCTGCTTCGCTGTCTTCTGGCGCAGTGGCTTGCACAAAATCAAAACCAATAAAATTACAAAATTATACATATACATACGTATACTGTACTTACGTGCGAAGTGATGGTAGATCATGTGATTGAAAAGAGAGGCAGCCACACATCGGTGACACAGAACTACAGAGCGTAGCTAGGGATGGCAAAGGTCTTAAAACGCGATCTTAAAAATTATGTTTGTTTGATTTAATCTGTTAAAAAATGTTTTAATACATTATGACGTAATTTGCTCTGATTGCGTAATGTAGTATTTATTATTGCTAACATCAAAAAAATCAAACATTCATCAAAGCATATGTTTCATGTTCGTGGAGGCATCTTTAAAGAAATCGTTTAAATTTTACTAAAATTACTGAATCTAATAAACATGGTAAAAAAAACGTCCACCAAAAATGCAATTATTGCGAAGAAGACTGTTGATTCAGTTGATCGATTAAAAAACGTCCAAGAAATGAGATTTAT